GTTACTGGATTAGTGTGTCAAAATATACTACCTTTCATTGCCTGACAAACTTGCAAATTATTGTATTATTTTTATATACATATATATATATCTATCACAGAGGCATTAGAATCAATTTTAAGGCTGGGGGGTTAACTTAGTCTGTGTGAGATATTGCCATCTACTTGAACTTGATAGTTTTGTTATTTTGATGTCTACAAAGACAAGCGCTTTGCTTGCTGAGTAATAGGACGCTTGGATCCTTGCCTAACCAAGCTGTAAGTGGTACAGTTGCAAAATAACCTACAAAATCATGTGTGGCAACACCTGGCTTCTAAGACCCTGGCCAAATAAATGAAATGCACTATATTGGGATGCCTAGGGGCCATATGTATATCAGAGAAAGACTATAAGGTGATCAAAAGACAGAGTTACTCCTTAAAACTGCTGGCCATGAGGCTGTGGCAGACACCCTTACCCTTTCTGGAGCTTGCCTGGGAGGCTAGAGCTGAGCACAGCATTCACTCAGCACCTCGCATTGCTCTGGAAAGCATAGAGCCAGGCTCACCATATTCCTTTAAAATGCAAGTTCCCGTCTTTAACCACAAGCTGCTTCTGCTGTTGAGAGTGCTCTAACTCCCTAGCTATGGGCTGTTCTGGGACACTTTCATACAGACATGGGAAAGAGGATGCTAAAGAAAGACCAGAAAAGAATAAATCTTTTGCTACAAGCATCTGCCCTTTGGATGGGAGGGATGTGGGTGCCAAGTGTTGCTGATGGTTGGGCTGTGCTGTCTGCTGGGCAAAAGTCAGAATAAAGCCTTTGGCAAAGCACCTAATTTCCCTGGCTTTCTCATGTATCCGGGTAACCTTCTGATAGTACCCAATGTGCCCAGTATTTTATAAGCACTTGCAAAGGGTGTGGATGGTGTTTTCAGGACTATAGTTTTGGATATACAAGTACCCAGCTTGCAGGCAGGCCCTCTGACTCCTCTTTACAATGTGGTCCAGAGAAGTTGTTACTGGATACAAACAGATAGGAAAGGTGAAGATAATAGCATCACAGCAGTCAGCATAACTATCCCGTGGTTGGTAGGAATGGGATGAAAAGCAGGAATACTTTTTCTTTTGAATTATGATGTACTCTTTACCTCCACCAACCATCCTTTCCTATCCTGCCATAGTAGAATAACCATGGCAATGACCTGTGTCTATGAGACTGGCGAGCATGTGTGTCCACGATTTTGTGTGCATAGCTCCATACTACACACCACACGTTTCATGTTGTGTTGGGAGGTTGAATAGTAGCCAAAACAGTCAGAAGGGAAAAAGAGTCCACCCCTCCTGCAACCACTCACAAAGTAAGCACGGGGCTGGGCCCAAGCCTGGCCATTAGACATACACCAAATTTTTAGTTAAGCCTCAAGTGTAGATACAAGTATTGGCAATAATGATACCTATTCACTAAGAGACCATTTAATTTCCACTTAAGTCATCTCATGGCATTTGAGAGCAATTTAAACAGCCCCTGACGCGATATAGAACCAAAAAAGCCATGTAAATCAGATGTCACCAGTGAAAAGTGGGTCCATGTTATCTTTTTTTACAATGTGTGTGTGCCTTCATTTTAATTGTAAGGAGCAATGTTGTATTGTGACATTCAACCTCATCAAACACAAGGCTTCATTCTACCACTGTGCGATTTGCTTGGGGGTGGTGGTAAACAAAATGGATCTTAAATTCACAAACAACATTCTATTCATATTTCTAAGATACTGGGTTTTCTGTGTTTGGTTAGATAGCCCTCATTGTCACTGGTCTGCTTGTTTGCTTCACAGTGCTTTCAAAACACTGGCATTGAGGATTATAGACAGGACTGGTTTAATTCCCAAGTTTATGCCAATCTCTGTGAAAGGCTTTGGGTGAAAAAATGATGAAGGTCTATTTCAGGAAAAAATATCTTCATTTGGTATTTTCAAAATATACATTTTAAGATTTCGTTCAAGAGCTGCATTTAACACTAGATTTTAAAATAATTTGAAAGGATTAAAAAAAAAAAAAAGAAAATCAGGACAAAGCTGAGATGTCCATATTCAATCTGAAATTAATGTTCCCCAGTTTTGCATTTCAGTAAGAAACAACGAAAAACACCTGGGTTATCCCAATCTGAGAGAATCTTTCCTTTCATTCTTTTTGGTTGACTCCTGAATATTAGATGTTTGCATAACCCTGATTCTGCAGGCAGGTCCCTTAGCTAATCTTTAATTTTGCTGAAATGGAAGAGACTGGGGGGAAGAATTTAGGAAAACAGAGGTGGCAAATAATTTTCCTTTTTCTCCTACCTTTTAATTCGCTTAAGAGCTTTGTTCCCAGACTAACAGCCATAGTGGAGACTTCAGCAAGATAAGAATATACAAAAACTTTGCAGTGGTGAGGCTGACTTGATAGCTTGTGATGACGTGAAAAGAAATCCCTTCTAACTGGACCTGCAGTCCAGGCAATGCAGCTAAAGCTTTGACTACAGATAACCTCACTTAGCATTGTTATCTGTAAGGAAAAGCAAATAGAAGAGTCTTCCACCATACATCCAAAGTTACCTAGGACCTACAAAGAAAGTGCCTTCTCACAGAAAAAGCTTTTTAACCAATCACAGACTTCCTCTTAAATAACAATTAATTTGAAATATTTTAAAATATTGTCACTCTGTGTTCACCATTTTTAAAACCACCTTCTGAAAATAACATGTATACAAACATACACTTAGTGTTTCACATTGCCTGCTTAATCCATGCACACTGTAATTTGTTCAAATACCACTCACAAACATAACTGCCTTACTGCATTAGAAATACTGAGATTGCATTCACAGTAGATGCAAGTTAACTGTCCATTGACTACCTATTTTGACTTATGAAATTGAACTTGGTAATACCTTTAAAATGATGCCTGTTATTTTCAAAATACATTAGCTAGAATGTAAGCAATTTGGTGCTATCTGTGCATAGTTGTTCTTGCTAATAGTAAAAATATTGTTCAACAGAAGTATGTACATTACCACAAATACAGACTTTTTTGAGGTACAGAAACCCTATCTCAATGGACTTTTCCATTTTGCACTTTTTTTTTTGCAAGAGTGCGCTCAAAATCCCTTTGTAAACAAACATTTAAAACCTAAATTGTATGATCAAGAGACAGAAATCTTGCTTGTCCCAATTATGGTTCTTGTTTACTAGAATTTGCTGAGTTTTTTTCCTAAGCTTACTTAATACCAGATCTTGGATCCTTCCTTTTCAAAGGAGGATCTAAATGGTGATGAGACATCATGATGAGCTGCAGCTATCTCTTTTTCCTCCAGCAGAGAGGGCAGACCGATTTCTGGGTAAGTTTTTCTGACCCTCCTCTCTCAAATGCAAGCAGTCCTGCGTGGAAGGCAAATCTGCCCTTGTGAACAGCTTGCAGGACCAGGGCATATGCGTCCCCTTATCTGACTAGCAGGGATGGGAAGATCTGCAGCTCCAGTTTTAGCTTCATGTGAAATTAGTAGTCTGCTGACTGCAAATGCTTCAACAAGTCTTCCAGACTGGTACTTCTGTTTCTTGAGTTTAAGGAAGAAACTAAATAAAAATCTTACAAGAATTAAATTATGCCATACATCATAGACAAGCAGTACAAAGCATCCACATTTTTTCTTGCTCTGCCCAGCACCTTTAAGAATGGGCAAATATATCCAGGAATACTTAAATACTTAAGCATAAGCAGGGCAAAATAAAGAAATCCCAGACAACTGGTTAGTTGTAGTACATACATTAAGCCCTTTCAGAAATGAAATTGTGCTATACTCAAGACCATTTTGGAAAAGGGGAAAAAATTACTAAACCAAGGGGGAAAAATAATGACTCTAAATGGGGCAAAATAGCAGATCTATTGGAAACATGACAAAAACAGGATGTTAAGGAAAAAAATTAAGTGGAGTCAACAAGGTTACACATAAGTAACACCTTAACATTAAAAGAAATCTATTTTCCATTTTGACCCGGAAACCTCTTCCATTAATTACTAAAATCTATTTACACAGCAACTAGATAAAATCAATCTGATTGCTCACACTATTTTTGGCTCACTTTCTGTGGGCTCTGAGTATTCAACAGACTGCCTCTAGAAGAGTCGATGTTTAGATGCCCTGAGTTTCCCTGTTTTGCTACCTACAACACTATCCTAGCCATAATTTCTGGTATGCAAGCTCTTCCATACTGGATACGCAGTATTTGGTTCCTGGCCCTGTCCCCTTGCCCCCAGCAAAGACATGTATGAAGGCCATGCTTCCTTTCAACCATATATGGAGGCAAAGCGTCTCTACCGGTATCTCTGCTGAGCTTGTTATGAGGGGTTCTGACAGGCCCTATGGCTGAGCTCTCTTACATTAACCAGACCGAGAGCACAGTACAGCAGAAGTAGAAAACAAGACAAATGGAGAGAAGTAGATGGAAGACAGTCCTTGGAGAACTGGGAGAGGCACACACCTCCTTCTACACTTATTCCTATTCCTCCTAGGAACGTCAGGTAGCTTCCAAAAGAAGCAATATCAACAGATTATACATTGATATCAATACATAATTTTTCATCCAAAGTAGGATTGCTCCAGGTACAATATCCATAAAATTTGTGCCTGTCAGTTCAGCAAAGATGCAGACACAAACATGGAAAATTTGTATTCTGCCTTGGAGAACACCTCCTGTTATGTAGGCAGAGTCTCACACAACAGAAGGTAAAATCCAGCTGGATCAGCTGTGCTATGGCTGGAGGTGAATGCAGAGGGAAAATTTCTGAGAGTCCCATGCGTGCTCGGCTTTAATTTCAGTAAGCGGAAACTGCAGAAATAAGCAGAGTGTGCTTAATTAAAAACTATCTTGACCGGGTGACTTCTTTTTTTCTTATATCTTGGACAGCTGAACACAATTGATTTATTGTTATGATCTTACCAAACTTATGCCACGAGCCAGAGCTGCAGATTTTATGCAGTGATTCTGAGACTGAAAAAAATGCGTGTTTCTCCCCCGTATTTAACCAGATCAAAATTAGCTTTTATGTGACACTCCACCTACCTCGGCGTATAGATATCAAAGAATCGTGTTAATGCTCTTACAGCACAGCGTGTCCCCAACTTGAGTGTATTTCCAGCTATGGTTCCCTGGCAGCAGCTCGTCATTTAATTAAAACCATCAAGTTCTCATCAGAGGACAGAAAGTTGCTCAGGCAGCCAAAACCAAGCTTGATTTAATCCTGATTTTAGCCACACCACTTTATCTGGAGGTCTGACCCTGGCTTTCAAGGGAACCTCTGCTGTGTGCTGGTATGGACCGGTGATGCTAGTGAGTAGCAGCGATGCATGACCCTCCCTAATCTCAGCTGGCAAAGGCTACTGGCTTCAAGTACTTACTTGAAGGGCTTTTCCCCAGTGTGCGTCCGGATGTGGTTGTTGAGTGTTGTGGCACCAGCAAAGGCACGACCGCAGTAGCCACACTTGAAAGGCCTGTCGCTGGAGTGCGTAACTACATGGTTCCTCAGCTCTGAAGGTTGGGAGAAAGACTGGGAGCAGTGACCACACTGGTATGGCCTGCAAGGGGAGAGAGAAACACCGTGCCGTCAGTGCTTTCTACTGCCGTGAACAGGAAATTGTATGGGCAGGAACATCTGGTCTTCCTGGTAATTTCCAAAAAGAACTGCAGGTGCACTTCTCTGGGGCTTTCTTGGGACACACGTACCCAACCTTTCAAGACTGCTTTAGCAAACGTGAAATGCTTTGCAGGAATTGACTGAGAGTCCATGGGCATCATGCCACGCAAAACATAATTCAGCAAGCTAGTGAGCCCGCACTACACATCATATGCCTGCCTGATTTCTCCCATACTCAACATGGTACTCCTTACACACAAAGAACTCCTCATACATCAGAGCTAAGAGACTGATGAAATGCTCTGTCTGTTGGTGCCAGCTACAGTCTTATCTACAAATGCGTGTCTGATTGTTACACCTATAACCTAGGTGGATTCTGTGACTGTCTGCAATTAAATTGCTCATATTGCTTTGGAGGAATCTAGGGGGTTTGAGATCACCTTTTTCAGTAAGAGACAGTGGAAAAAATAACCACCATATTATTTTCTTACTGGTCTTGAAAATATTTGCATTTAATTAACACGTTTCTCCCATCCAGACTGAAAATGCCTTTTCTGTGATCTTGAAGTGAAACACAGGACTTGGGTTTTCAATACCACAGTTTGTTAAAAACAAGCGTAACAAACAAACAAAGCCGACTGAGATGTTACAAAATTCAGAATCATAACAAACAGACTGCAAACACAGAAAGGAAAGGATACAAGACTGTAAGGTGAGACAGGACTTTTGAAATGCAAATACCATTGCTAACTAAAATTAAATGTGATGAAACAATGCCTATGTATTTCTGTTTGGTAAAAGTGATTTAATATCAACATCTTACAGGTGCTTTTTTCTTTTCACATTTGATTTAAGTTAGTGACAGCGTCCTACATGCTCATCAGACTTTTTGTTAAGAAAATTAAGATTTTTTTCTAGAGGGATATTAATGATTCTTACCCTGCACAACGTTTTAAGGCACAGCTCTTGATGTCTGCATTTCTAGAGCCAATGGCCAACACCAACTTAATTGCTCTCTCTTTAATAAATGTGTATGTTTAAATAGCTAGAAACCAAAACTAAAGGGAAGGAGACAATGGTGACCAAGCATGTACAATTCAATTAAGTGCAAAATAAAGTGAACTATCTCATTTGTCAAGTGAACTGCTTAATTGTGGCTACTTGCATCACTGAACACAAATACTATTATTTTACAGTGCTTCAGAGCACTGAACCCTGATTGTAGAATTTTTTAGCTTGATTAATAGCTCAGTATTGGTCAATAACTCAATAGCTTACAATTTTAATTACTAACATTTGAAAATCTAACTGCTCTCCAACAAGCTTGAAAGAAATATATAAAAGCTGTGGAAAGGTTACTTAACTTAGATGATATGGCCCTTAAAAATTACATTAATATATATGAAATAAAATTTTAAGAAAAAAGTAGGTACCAAATATCTATCTCACTTATTGGAAGACAAGTAGTAACATGCCCAGTCTTCTCCTTTCTTGAAGTGCACAGTTAATTTGCACAGAAAATATTTATCAAACCTGACATAAAAATTGAAGTGCTGGTAAAACAAAGATGATTTGTGAATGCAGACTTATTTGTTGGGTATTTTCAAATCAAACACTTTTAAGCAAAAATAACACATTAAGATATTTTGTATCCAAGAAACATTGATTTTTTTAATAGTGAAAGGGACCATTAACATCTATTAGCCTCTGGTTATCTATTTTTAACAGCTACCACAATGAATGATACAACACTACATAAAACTAATTAATCTTTTATTTTTTTAACAGTCAGTGTGATTAATTTCATACTGTGAAAAGTCACACCATAACTTGCCTGTAAATAGTCAAAATTCCAAACCAGTTATAACTGAACATTGTGATGCCAAGTAAAATGGTTTTTACCCCCTGCATTGGCTCAAAACAAATTTCTTGTTTACAAAGGATATTAATATATGTACTCAGAATACATTTCATTGGCTGATGCTCAAGAAAAAGAGCCCTGTAAAAAACTACCTATTGTTAGATCACTTTGACTGTATTTTTTCCATTCATCCATACCTTGGGAGAACAACTATTAAAGAAGTTACCTTCCTTTTTGCAGGGGATGCATTTCACCTGTTTGTACACAGGCGATTCTGATTAATACTAAAATGGGCAGAATAAGTAAATTTTTCAAGCTAGATACATGGCACACATTAAACAAAGCTCATTGTAAAAGAAAGCCTATAAATGCAATGAAGTACAATAAAAATTTTAAAATGCCGTATCTAATTTGCACAATTGCAGATGCAAATATGCCACATCTTGACAACTTTTGGATACTACTATTTTTTCCAAGAGCAAAAATGGTCATTCAATAAGTATAAAAGTTATCATTTTGTTCTCTGGTAACCATTTTACTGTGTTCAGAAATTTTTCTTGGCAGAAAATAAAATCAATATGTTGTTTTTAAAAAAAATGAAAGGGTGCAGAAGGACTGAACATGAACAATGCTCGGTTCAGTGAGTACATTGACACAGGCAGAGCAAGGCTGTCTTTGATGTAGCAGTTATGTCTTCTGCCATCACTTTGGTCTGCACTGGGACAATGAATTAAGATAGTGATCTCTTCATAGCAGCGGTTTGCAGACAGAAAGACAAGGGACGTAGTGACAAAAATGGTGGTCTTCATAGGCTGTGTTTTCAAAGTTGTGCTGCTAGACTGAATGCAGTCCCAGCCCAGAAAAACTCATTTCCATTGGAATAACTGAGAACATACTGCACCTTCTTCAGCTTCAAGGTATCCATGTGAATATAAGCCTAGCTGTGTCACAGCCCAGACACGTGTCGATGCTCCAGAAAATTAATGTTCAAACAAAATGGATGTCAGTCACTTCATACATGAAAGCCTACATAACTAAAATATTCCCTTACTGAGGTAGAGACAGATTTGCAAACATCAAAACCAATCAGTTTGATGGAACAGGGTACCAGGGCCTCAAAGTACATTCTGAATGTTTGAATACATCATTTTTTTTTCTATAAAAATCTGTTCTCCAGCTATCATGTACCAGAAACAACATAGTTTTGAATGTCTTCATTGTTGCATTTTCTACAAAGGATCTTGTAGGCATTTCCAGATGTAAATCAAGCCTGATCAAAATCTTCTCACATAGTGTTTTTAAGTCACATTTAAGAATAGCTAAACTGATGTATCACAATGTACAGATGAGAATGGTGTGCTGTCAGCCATCAAAAGCAGTTCTAATGTTTTTCATTAAACACCTAGCTACATATTGTCTAGTTCTCTGTCTTCCCCTCTGAGCTCAAAGGAAGGAAATCTACTTACCTAGAAGCAAATTCTCCTGTTAGAAAAATTACACTGTTGTCATTAACCCCATAAACCATCAATCAACTATCTAGCTTTACTATCAAGTAGATGCACCAGCTTTTCCCAGAGACCCTAATGTTACAGACCCTGACTATATGATGGCCCACTATAGGGCCACAGGCCATTTAAAGTGAAATTCAGAAAAGAGTAACTGTAATGTAACAGTTTTGAGGTTTTGTAGTTATTCAGATTTTGAGCTTTTCCAGCTTTTTCAAGTTATGTTTTCAAAATTAAACCAGTCAAGAATACTTTCTGTTTCCTAATTTAGACAATCTCTTGAATGATTTTGCCGTTTGGTGATGTCTTTTCCTTATAATCTTCTCACATTTGCAGCTGATTTTTTCTGGGTGAAACTGTCACGTATAGGACCAGTACATGTTCCCCTATAAGGCTTATCGAACGTCACCAGAGTTCATGCTTTGTACAGGGGATTGGGATCCCTAAACATGCACAAAGCATGTTAAGGGATAAAAATAGAAAAATCTGTATCTTTGCACCTGGAATAGCTTCTGAGAGACAACTGTACACTTAGAATTATTCTTTCTAGATTTTCATTTAGCAAAAGTGACATAGCCTCTGATTATTTGTCTTGTACTATTCCTCTGCTAGAGCAATATACTTTCCAACCCCTGACTCCTAAGTACATCCAGCCAATACAAACTTAATTTCTACATCACAGATAATTCATGGTCTGAATTATTAGAATCCTGAAAAATCTTATCATTATTTTCCACGCACTTTTCAAATTCTTTCCCTTATGATGAACAGGTTTCTACTGAGGCCTCTTCAGAAGTGAATTTGCTGTTTTCAAGGGACATGTGGAATCCCAGTGCAATCCTTGTAAGAGGAATTGCTTGTAATGGTGAGTTCCTGAATACCTGTAACTCTATCATTGAAACACCGTCAGATCAGGGAGACAAAATAGCACTCTGCTGTCATTTTTCCCCTTAGAGAAAGCTAGAAAAGCACCAGCTGAAAGAATAGAGACTGACATGCAGTTGAAAGTGCTTTTCTCCTTGTTGAGGATTAAGAAGAAGTAAAAAACCAACGTGATTGATGTCAGGGTCTCAAAGAGTGGGATGCAGGGCTCCACTGAACCCAGGGCAGGGTTTCATGACATGATGGGGAAAAGGCTGTCACACCACAGCCTCTGCAAAAAAAAAGAAAGCAGGGCATGTTGAAATGGGGCCAGCATCAGCTTCCAGGGACAGGCCTTCGTGCCACACGCAGCATTAAGAGCACAGCTGCAGTCAGAGGAGTTAGGTCCCAGTTGTCCTAATGGAAAGGTATTTTGGATGGATGCCTTCTTCCAGCAAGCTGAACTAAAGAGGCTGGAGAACAAAGTGACACCTAAGGATAGACTGCACACAGAAGCATCCCTAGCACCACTGTGGCCATGGGTGGGTTACATTCACTGCTTCTGGACTCTACATCCCCTACTGCCTTGGTGTTCCCCTTAGGCAGCACAGTTATTGCCCCAAGCACTTCAGGCACCACGCAGCAAGGGAGATGGCAGAGCTGGACCCACTGGGAGTTCTGGGATCATTTCTTACAAATGTTTGTGGAGGAACTAGCAAAAGCAGCAAGTTAGCGCACATGGAGTGTTTTCAAACTTCTGAAGCTGTCAGGGAGAGGTGCTGCTCTGTACACCCTTTGTTGTTATTAACTACGAGTACTGAGAGTTTGCAAACATTTCTGAAAAGATTATGCAAGAACAACCATTACATTCAGCATGATGTTTACTTTAATTGAGCAATATTCCATAGCCACTCTATAAACAGAAATAGACAACCCTTTCTCACAGCATTCACTTTTTTTAGGTCTGTTTTGGGAGATGTTTAAATTAATTAATGGACTTGGGGAGAACATCAAGGTCAAAGATAGAGAATCTATAAAGAAAAAGATAAACACAAAATGGACTGAGCCACAATCTTAGAGAAAAGTATCTATTAAATTGGCAACTTCAAATTTTAAGCTCCTGTTTTTTAAAAAAACTCACAATTTAACATTGAAGTGCTACAGCAAAACATGAGTACAATAATATCTTTTGAGTAAACACGAATTGCGATGGCCAGATAACATTCACAATCTGTCAGCCATGGACACACAGAGTGGGGTTTCCCTCAGACTGTCACCTTAAATACATGGCAATCAAGGACAATATATATCACACAGATGTACATATTGTATATGAAAATGTGCCACAGACAGCTCTTGGGAACTGCAGCCATCTGCCTCCCCTCAACACCAATACATCTGGAATCTGGTGATCATAGTGAGAAAGAAGAAAGATGTCATTAAAAAAGTCTTTGTCGTTATCAGAAAAGTAGTTGCTGTTAAAATAAATAAATAAAATAATTAATTAAAAATATTGCTCTAAAAATTATCTACAGTGATCAGAGGCTTTTGGTTACCCCTTTCTGGAGATTGCCCCAAATAGGATTGTTAGGAATTTCTTCAGCAGGGGAAAGAAAAAAACCAAAACAGAAACAAACAAAAAAAGAAAAAGAAGAGAAAATAGATTTCTGACTCCTGCTTCAAGAAACAGTTGCTCAAACTGCTTCTGTATGGGCAATGCTTAAAAAAGTCACAAAGGCTCAGAAAGTCCCAGAACTCAAATCTTGGGGGATTTAAATCTTCACCTCCAACACGCAATGCAACCCCAATTACCATTAAGTTCAAAGAGAAGCCCTACAAAATATAACAAGCTAAAAAAATCTCGGTGGAAAGGGAGAATTAAATTATAAGTAAACCAGTAAATAATTTATAGTTAATTTTAATTTCAATTAAAATCCTAATCTTAATCTAAAACAACAAACCCAGCAGATTATTTTAATATTTCTCCCTATTTTGGATTAATCACATTTTAAAATAATTTTTATTTATTAAATCATCTGCCCGTTAAGGAGGGCCGTTTGTTTCTTACTGCCTAACAGAATTAAGTATATTTTGGCCTTCTTTTACATCTGCTGTCATTCAGATGTTTTCTGACTCCAAGTGACTTTAATGTAAACTCTTTTTTTTAATTTCTCAATCCCAAGTAGCCTGCTTTTCTCAAATTTCAGCCCATGAATTGGACTCCTGTAAAGATTCAAAGATGTTTTCCCTGCACCTCATACTGTAGGTAATCAGCATTGTTGAAAAACAAATACAAAGCCAGAACAGATAGCCTAAAGTCATTTCCTAGAGAAGGCAGCCCCTGCTGCTTCATTCACATCAAAGATATAGTGGCTGGTGTGCTCACAAATTGCTGACAATAAATGGGGAGCTGTTTATCAGCCAGAGTGGTGCTGCAGATACCGTTGAGAAAATACAAACCAGAGAGTTGCACCCAGTACTTCAGGATGGCAGGCAGGTATTCTTTCACAAATCATACCTTATTTTCTTGTCTCCAGGAAATTTTGTACAGCACTTTAGGAATTTTTCATCTGGAGAAATGCAGTATGTTCAAGAAACCAGAGACAACTCTCTTCCAGCCACTGTATTGCTAAATAGCTGATCTACTGGTACCTGCTAAAAGACAAAAGGCTGCCCATGATGTAAGCTCAACCTGTGATGATTTCTAACTGGAGGTATGAGAACACAGATCCTAGGGCAGTTATGACCTGCAGTGACTATTATTCTGGTAATTTCAAACACTGAACGAACTGCAGTGAGCTTGAACAGGATCACTGACGTCACACACAATGCTCTGAAGAAGACCTATTGGGAAATGCCTTTACTGCAGTTATGCTGATGGCACACCTCACAGGAACAAAGAAGGCATTACAAAACTGGCCTCCACAAGGAGCCTGCACAATTTATTTAATTAAAACATAGAGACATAAGCCATTTTTCAGCACAGAGGGAACACAGGTGTCACAGAACAGAACACTCCAATATCTACTACTTATGCAGCAGATTGATTCTAGGTGTATCTTGCAACCTCAGTTAAGGTTCTGTGCTCTCTATGTAACACAAGGGGAAAAGTTTCTTAAGAACAGGATTCATAAAACCCAACAAGCCCAAGAGGAAATCAGCTAAATTAGCCAGTATCAATATTGAGAAAAAGGCGTTAGCTATTATGTTTTGAATCTTCCTGAAAGCTTCTGAGATTCAACACTTACAATTCAGAGTTTTTACTTACCTCCCTTCCATCCCCATCCTCCCCAAATCTGCTGAGCCCTTTCTCTAATCACCCTTTGCTCTCCTTGCTCCTGGGGGAGCCAACTTGTCTTCTGATCTAGATAATTTTCCTACTATGCTGTATCATATTCCGAGCCAAAAATGCTCTACACTTTCTTGTTGAAGCTGTTCTGCATGGACAAACTAGGTAGGCATGGAAAAGACAAAACAGTAAGATGTCATGAATCAATAACCTACTAATGAGGGTGTTTGCCTCTAAGGGGCAACACTTAAAATCCAGCCCGTGTTTCTGGCAATATTTGACACAAGATACTTAGGAGAAAAGAAATAAAAATAAAAAAAATTAAAAAAAAAATCAAATATCTAACCTCCAAGTTGACAGACCTAGTTGTAGGATAGCCTTACCTTCATTTTCTCTCCCTGGCAAAATGAATATTTAACTACCCTTAGAATGCAGAACAGCCCTATTAGGAGAGACTCTTCTTGCATTAACTATTATCTGCATCTTGGTTCTTCATTAAGGAAGACACAGGTTCAAGTGAAGGAAGTGGTGAAATGTAGGCATCTCACCTGATTGGAAGAATCACTGAAAAAGTATGTGGGGGAGCCTCACAGTATATCTCTTCTAGACACCCTAATGCAGCATTTTATGCTTTACAATATGCTTAGGATACTTTAATACTGGAAACATAGGAGTCCATAAAACTTAGGAAAGCAGACCTTTTGGGACCTATATTCTACACTGGGGCACTTAAATTGGCAGTTGTGTCCTATGGCTTCCTTAGCATGGCATTTGTTTCTGCTAAGGCCAGCATAACATTCAGAAAATATTCAGAAAGGGCTTGTTTGCATTCACAATATTATCAACTCTTCAAATTCTATAAAGATTTGCATGGAATCTAGTTTGCCCCTAGCATGCTTGACATTTCTTCCTGGAAAACTCGAATTATGCTCCAGTATCTCCACACCCACAGAATCACACAAGCAAATGTGTACACGTAGATAATCACGTACACAGAGAGACATAGACATGCACACAAACACACACACAGACTCACTGTTGACTATTTTTTATAGTGTTTTGGTTAAATGTAATTCACAATTAAATGCTGCTTTTAGAACAACCTTCCAGGGATTCAGCTGTTCTGCTCAAACCTTCTTCACAGCTGAAGAAGAGACAAAACATGGGCAGCCTTTTTTATTGAATTAATTTGATTTTTGTCTTTTGTCCTGCCAGCTATCAAAATTGTCAAATAAACCAGCTTTGATTAATAAATAATGGTTCCATTATATTTACTGTGCCACCGGTCAGAGTACCTGAAATTTTAATTCACTTGTTCAGCTAAATTTCATCCTCAGTTCACGGCCATAAAATTCTGTATTGACAAACTTTCAAACCAACTTTGACTCTGAGGTATCTAGTCAACATTTTTCTTCTGTGTGGATATTAGTTTATTGAATAAGTGGCATCTGTTTTCCTCCACATCACTAGTGGAGTAGGTATTTCCTTTTGACAGCTTTGCACGATTTATGGGTTTGCATGCTCTGAAGAAAAATAGTACTAAGCAAAAAATTCCAATTCATTACCTCTTAGTACTTAATTAAGTTCATACACATTGCACACTATAGGTGAACCCTGAAATGACTGTGACAGCCACTGAGCAGCAAGTTAGATTATCTCTGGAAGACAGAGAGACTTTTAATTATCTTGACCTCATTTTTCCATCTATGATATTCATAAATTTTACTTCTATTTTGTTGCCTCCATCAGATGTACCAAACCATTCTGAAAACAAGATTATATCCTTAGCTATTTCCTTTTATCTGCACATTTAGGCACCAAATGTTTTTACAAATAGTGAAGTCAAGCAATGGTTTTTATCGGCTTACTTCACACAGCTGTAGATGAATTATGTTGTACAGGCTCCTCCTAATAATGGTTTGGTTTTGGAAATGATAACAGCTTGATAAAAGAAGAAAGCAGTGGATCTGGCTATCAGTAGATACAGAAATAAAGAGAGCCTGGGCTTTACCTGTCAGGGTTCTGCGTACACACATGCATCTGTAAGAGGATCCGCTGGGTGAAAGTCTTAAAGCATTGCCCACATTTCCAAAGGTGCCAGTCACTGAACTCAGAATTTAGTTGGCTTGTTGAAGTTGGGCTTGCAAGAACTCGTTGGTTTTTGACACTGATCTGGTTAAATCCTGACTCGATGGACCCAGACTTATCCAGGAGAGAAAAATTTCTGCTACACGGAGTCTGTGGAAATACTATGGATCGCTGTGGAGTGGCAGGGGATAGTTTGCTACTTTTATTAAATGGCTGTAGGGTGTCTTGTCTGGACATGGCCTCCATTACAGTCGAAGGGACATTCACTGGGAGAAAACAAGAAAAGTAAATAAGATCCTTTTTATGCCTTTTTAAAACTAACACAGTGTGGGAGACACCAAAAAAATACCAACATCCATTTTCTTGACACTAGAATTAAACAACTTTATTTTAACAATGCGCAAAAAGATGGGCTTGAATGAGACAGTGATCTGAATGGATGATGCTGAATCCGTGAAACTGAAATGAAAACTCATGCAAAGGGGTGTCTGAGACTGAAAGGACTCAGAGATGGCTGACTGTGATACACATTTATTGCACAATGGGATTCCCATCGGAAAGAAAATGCTGCTGTGCTTGTGATACCCTGACTCTGCATGTCACAGTCAGCATGCCCAATTGCTATATAACAGACAAGTATGAATTTTGAGGTTATGCGGAGAAAAAAATCCTTGCTCAGACACTCCTTGAGATACAACAGGGCTTAAATATCTACTGCAGCAATAGTTCCCTTATCCTCTTAAAGGGCAGCCATGAAGTGTATTACACTATTACATCTCACAAATAGTCACCCAGCCAATACAATACAAAGCCATTTCCCACCTACAAAATAGGAACAAAAATGGTTTCTAGTCCCATGAAAGTCTTATGATCATCAATTAACTATGGCTTATGAGGCCCTCAGATATTTCAGCGATAAATACAATACGCTGTTCTCACAAAAAAGTGATTTAGTGCTGAATTTGGATGTCGCATGGTAAGGAAGGCAGGAGGTCAAACATATAGAAGAACATTGAACTCGCTCCTTGAGTACCACCTAGATCATGCAGTGAATGAAGCAAGGATTCTACAGAAAAATGTGGCCAGCTAACAAAAGATTGTACCACAATGCAAAAAGAAGCATAATTTAGGCCACCTGGACCCAGTACCTTCTCATGCTTTCTAATTTTGGCACGCTCAACCTCATGAGGTAATATTTTAATGGAGATTTTTAAATTAAATATGTTGCATGCATATGTCTATATCTACATATGTTCACACATTTTGTTACTATCACAAAGTGTTTATACCTATATATCCACAAGTAGGTACATAGCACCTACTAAACAGGTGATTAGAAACTGCAACTCTGTTTAAGTAAGTCACAATGATAGATTTGTAAGACCAAATACCAGAATTAAATTTCAGTTGTGAGCTGGAATCAGCCAACATTATTTAATACACAATAAAAATGTAATACAAACTAATGTTTTGGTAATACCTTAAATAATGCCAGTTACTTCACAGAGTTATGTTCTAATATATTCTGTCAATCATCAAAATTCCAGTATTATAATATTACATGGTAATTAATTTACTTAAGTTGAGGTCTTTCCTGGCCTATTCATTTCTGGAGTATCTGAGGACCTGATTTCTAAGTAGAGTTGCACCCATGGGGCTGTCTATCAGAAGTTTCCAGACATATATCTTCTATGCCTCTCTTCAGTATAAGGGGCAGTTTGTATACTTTCATTTTGCGCCAAGATTCTCACACAAGAAGCAGATCGCTGCTTTTTTTTTTTTTTTTTAATTGTATTCATTCCACAGAATGTCCACAGAAGCAATATGATCAGGATATTAGAGACCTAAAGAATATAGGCAGAGTTTGTACTGGTTAAAAATACCCCTGTGCAGAAGATAAGCAGAAGGTCTGCACCGAGGGCTTAAGTGGCACTTAAGTCATATACCACCCTGCAGCTGTCTTCATGCTCAGGGATGAATTTCATCTACTCATGTCAGTCTCTCTGTGGATGAAACTGGTTTATCTCACGGCAAAACAGCAAGTGACAATATTTAGAGATTTTAACCATAATGCTTTGCTTTTCAAATAAAGTTTTTGTAAACTTCAGCTCATGAAAGAAAAAATAATATTTCTATATTGTACACTGCAGAGCATGAGTTTTATCAGCAAACATTGCTGCCAGTAATTAAATTCCTTTTAAACTTTTCTCAAGCCCAACAGATTTGAAAACTCAAGATGAAAAAGGATGTTTATTTTTGACAGTTTAATCCCTGCTATCTTGCTGTTTTATTGCCACATGATTCAGTATTTAAGTTGCTACGAGACACGAGTTCACCCTAGCATTGCTGTTTAAGTATCCAAGTACTTGACTAAAAAAATACATCTTGTATGTAATTGATTAAGCGTGGCCAGCCACAGGGTTACTTTAGACCAAAGTCAATCAGGCATCCATTATTGGTTTCTTCCACCACGGAGATACACATAGCTGTCAAAACGGAAGAGAGGTCTTTGATCCAAGCCCTAATCAAGTTCCATGCACAAACAGTGAAGCTGCAGGGTGTGCTTGGATCACCCATTCACATTACAGAAAAAGGTATCCAGCACTAGGTTGCACCGGGTCTGCATTATAAGTTACATGCTTAATTTTGTGATGATCCCTAGCAAGCTAAAAATAAAATATTGAGAAGGGGTAGAAGAATGTATGGAAATGGAGATGGCCAGGATGGAATGGAGGCTCATTGTCATTTCAGGCTACTTACACTCAGTCTGTATTTAGAGAAGCTGGCTTTTTTATTTTAACCACAAGGATCTTATCTCTACAATGAGTCAGAAAAAGCTTTTCTCGACATACTCAGTGGTAATAGAATGAAGAACTAACAGGCCTCGTGGACCTGCAATGCATTACTGTTTTGGCAAGACAGTCTCCTGTGATAGGTCTGATAACAATGGAGAGGGCCAAGCAAATCCATTAAGAATAGACCAGGAATGAATCACTTACAGGGAAGAGTGATTCTACACACTACCAAGCTATGTGGGGCTGCCACAGTGGGCAATCTGCTGTTTAATTGCACATGCCTGCACACTTCCAAACACCTCCGTTTATTTAGGTAACCATACCATGATTTTGCACAGCTTAAGTGTATCAGCTTCAGGGTTTTATTTTGTACAAAACAAGCTTACCTTAAATATATAAACACTTTCATTTAACATGTCTTTAAACATTCTAGGAATATAGCTGATTAGGCATGAAACAGGAATTCTGGCTTACACAGGTAGAGATGCAAGGAAGAACTTACAATTTTCATCTTGTGCAATGCACTGGAGAGGGATTCCAAAGAAAGATGTGTAGCTGTCATTGTACCACACCAACAGCTCGGTGCCCCTGGGGATATCTATACAAGCCCGGTAGAATATATTTGACCTGATCAGGAGAAATAAATAGACAAAAAATGCCTACTTTAGGAACAGAGCATTCTCCTCTTATCATACACAGTATTACAGCATTGTTTTGGAAGCATTTCTGCAGATAACTAAATGAATAGCTTGCTGATTATTATAAAACCGAATCTATCATCAGGGAAAGACTTTGTTCCTGTAGCACAGGCTAACAAAGAGCTTACAGGCACTTTGTACCTGGCATATTTTAAACACTAAGATTTTAAAAGCACTAAGATTTTATTAAAAGACTGGTATTTTCTTGCAATGTCCCTTTGAAAGTGATTTGAGAAATGCTGTGTTTTGCTAACACAGTACAAGCATCAGAGTGGTGCACGCAGTTCAGTAAGGTCAGCCATTTAAATAGCCTTGCATTTGTCATCTAAGCTGAAGTTAACATATTTTAGGGGTAAATAGACAACAATTCTTTCATTTGAATAAGTGCTTTTTTTTCAGCTGTGTGATGTGTCCTTGCATTACAGCAATACACCACCAAAAAGAGAGATCTTAGATTGTGCGAGTAAAATAGACAGGGAAATTAAAAAATGGTGTTAATCTGAATATACAACCACAAAAATCTTCCCCTGTATGGAAGATGAGGGTAACGCCAATGATCCTTCAGTAAGTACAAATTAATGTTACTGTAAATATGATATCTTATCACACTGCTCTGTGGGAAATGACTGTGGATATTCCTAGACTATTGAACCGGGAGCTGAGGGGGAAAAAAGGAAAAATCCTAGAGTCTTCACCATAGAGCCTTATCCTGATCTTGCACTGATGTAAACAGGTTCAGAGTGATACTTCTACAGTTAACAGACTTACATGGGGGCAAAAACTGTGCAAGACTAGAATCAGGCATGAGATAAAATAAAAATGTTATCAGTTTGTAGTGGCTTTTCCCTTAGGCTTCATATGGAACCATAAAAAACAGTCCTGTGAGACGGATAGAAATTCAATATATACAAGAATAACACTCTACTCTCACTGAAGGATTACATACCAAAATGATACAGTCAAAGTACCAAGAAATGACCATTTTTTATAACAGCTTATGTAAGGCAGAAAAACATCTATAGACCAAAAAAAAAAAAAAAGTTAGGCCTCAACCGGTTTTCTGAGTGAAGAATTGCTACAAATGTTAGCCTGAAGTTCAAGATAAAAGTGTTTAAGGTTGGTAGGCCTTAAATTTAGACTTTCTGTAAAGAATTGGCTGTAGCGATGCAATTTGTTCCTTGTATAACACTGCAGACATAAGGAGAATCCTTTACCACATTTTTCATGGCAGTGAGATATGCACTTGTCAACATATTTTGTCACCGCAAAGTGGCTCTTGGCAACAGGATCATAAAGATCAATAAAAAAGTGCAGATTCTCAATATTTTACTAGCAGCTGCAAAAATTTCATTTATCTTGTTATTTTCCTCGCTTACTGCCACCCTGTCTCAGGAGGGCACTGCTAGCTAAGCAGAACGGTTTTCCTACCCTTCTATGAATATCTGACAAAAACTCTCCCCTTTGTGTCTCCCCCTCTCCTCCTCCATTCCTCTTCTCCCACTCTTTCTTCCCAGAGCTGCGCCTTTAGTTAATTCTTTCCACTGTTACATTAAAATGAAAATCGGAGCCACACTATAAATTACCAGCATCCCCTAACTTGAGAAAAATTGAGTCTACTTTGTACTTCACCCTTGTAACATTTCATCTCTCAGTTTGGCTTCCCTTAACATAAACACAGCAGCCCAGCAAATGAATGTGCTAAAACCAAATGACACACTTTGCCGCTGAAAGAGCAGAACTGTTTTTGAGCAATGGGTGGTCTGTGAGGCTTGGAGTAGGCAGGGAAAAAAAAGTGTAAGCGTACACCGTCCCTTACAAGCGTGCAGAGCTTCCAAAACTCGCAGAAATCTCTGCATGCTGAAGTACATCAAAGGGATTTTTCCCTTTTTGGATAATATTTCCTTTGCTGACATGTATTTAGTATTGTGGTTGGATGACTCATAAAGATAGCTTCATGGCGTCCCAACGCAGTTGAAGCAGAACACATGCCAACAAACATTATTGTCAGCCTCAAAATAAAAACAAAACGTTCAGCTAAGGGTCAATCAATCAAGAGCACTTTGAAGAAAATTCCATTTAGATATTACAAATCATAACAGAATGAATTTAAACCAGCTGACTTTCTGTGAGGAGGACGTCCATGTACAATAAAAATTAGGCTGGTTTTTCAGTGTCCAACTTTTCTATTTTCTTACACTTGGACGCAGTCACTGGTGATGGATGCCAGTTTTTTAAATTGTGTTTTTGTAGTTCATTTTATAAAGATCTGAAGTAATCGAAAACAGATCAACAGAGGGAACTCTAAGTAAAAACTCCATCATGAAAGGAGAGTTGTAAAATACACTTAATATTGACAGATGTGTAATGACTTTCTCATGTTCACTTTTCATTTAGGTTTGTCATCTATATATATATACGTATGCATGTATTTTTTTTCTTATTTTTTATGTACATATGTGTGCGCACACCCCACCACACTGAGAAATAGTTCACAAGATACCTACAAAAATGCTCTTTCATCACAGCAATCTTTATTCATTATCCAATGTGTTTATTTAAAATCTGATGGGATTTTAGCTATAGATATCAGATATTTAAGGGTATAATAAAAGATTTGTAATGTATAAATAAGATTGTTATTTTTTTAACTGTGGCATTATTTAGTCAACTGGCCAGAGAATAAAAAAGCTGAAAATGGAATTGAACAATTTTACCATTGTTAAATTGGAACCCTATGGGATAATCAAACTTTATATATATTTCATTTTAGCTTGCTTTTGTATGTTTTATTTTTAATTTTAAAGGTACTTTAAATAAGTTTAAGATTCTTCCTAAAGAAAAGAAACTCCACTCTCTAAAGCGACTAGCCAAAATCAGGATTGCTCACTGCGACTGGCAAGCCCAGGGCATTCTTTGATGTGCTTCCTGCCACATTTAATAAGGCCAAGCAGTTGCTTCTGATTCTGAGGCAAAAGGTTTGTTTATAGCTGAGATCATGTATTTATGTAATGTGTCTGGGTTTTCTGGATCTGTTTGCGAATAAGAAGTAAAATGCACCATAATTTCTTTACATTTTTCTTCACATTTTGACCTTCTCTAGCCAGCAACATAAGAGGCACAAGCACCAGCTATCTGGGCTAGCAGGTGCACTCAACGTGTAAGCTTTAGGTGTATACGTGCCTCATGACTGACTCTCAGAGAGCCTTTGGGTTCAAATCTCCTCTCCTGCCATTCTTCCCCTTCCTCTGGCACACGCATGTTTATCAAGGGCAGAAGATTGCTTCTGCTTGCTTGCTTCTGATCAGACCATTTGAAACCATGCAGAGGGCTCTGTGCAGCGTGGTGGTCACACGAGTGCCACAGGGCTGTACATGTCCCCAGGAGGTCCAGGCCTAGCACGTCTACTACGATGGCCTCAGCTCAGGGCAACCAAAGGTAAACCCACCCTCACTGCACTCTTTTGTAGTTTTTGTATTTGTACACTGCTTTTTTATTGCACATTCACAAAGGCCCTGCTACTGTCTTTGTGATCAAAGGCAATAGTACTGGTGGCAGTTACAGCCTGGCTTTTCACTGAAAACATTTTCGTTTTGTTGCATTGAGTAAATCAAAATGTACTTTACCTGTACTGAACCACTGTTAAGTTCTGTTCCCCGCAGTGCCTTGCACATCGTATATACCTCATCCAGCTTGACTTACTGGGTTCTCCACCATCAATAAAGTGCTGCAGTGTCCCATCTTGATCATATATCTGGGGGAGATGTCACAAGGTCAAGCAGTTAGAACAAATCATCAGCAATCATTTTCACTGTTTTGCTGGTGTCTCTCTGTGCCTTTTCCAGGAATTTATTGCCATGAGATTTGTCATTGAGTACTGATGCTCTTAGAAATCTACATGGAACAGCAGAAAAGTATTTTAGAGGATGCAAGTTTATCGTGCTTCTTTTATCAAGCCAATCTTTTTGTATTAAACATATTTGTGGTGTCTCAAAGATGTGACCCTGTTTCCCAAAGAATATTTAACCTATTTTGACAGGCTGACCTTAAACAATGAACTGCCAGATAAACAAGAAAATCTGGATGTAAAGCCTGCATTGAAACGGCTGGAACATCTGAGCAAGGGGCAGTAGTAATCCCTAAACAAGTATCCCTTCCTTCACATCTCAGCTGCAGCAAGAGCATGTACTTCAGCAACCTCACATGATACATTAGGGATTTGTAGGATTCATAATACCAAAACAAATGAGACTAGAAGGAAAAAGAGAGTTGAAGATGCCTTTAGAAGCTCCCTTGAGACATATAATTTTTTGAAGTAGTAAATGAGAAATCAGCCCTGAGGGAATCATGGTTTTCCTAAACATGACATCCCTGCTAAGGACATGAGAACGAGTTAGGGCAATTTTTTAAAAAGGCAGTATTATGTCTCTATTTGGCACTGGATGCTCCTTCTGAAGTCAAAGAATAGAATTGCTCTGGAGGCTCTGAATTGAAAAGATACATGTTTCATGCACACCTCCCCTTCTGACTGCTTAAAAAATGTGATTTAGGAAGTGCTAATCCTAGTAAAAGCACACAGTCTCACACATTTTTTACCTGTTATGCAATTACTTTGTTAAACTTCAGAACTGCAGCTGAACAATTAGGTGCTTACATGAAGCAAACCTCATCTTTAGATGTTTTGCCCCTCCACAGACACCATCTGCTTTAATAATCTTACCCCAAAAATGTCATCCCTTTTGAAATTGCATGAGCCTAAATTGATGTTTTCTTGAAAGTACTAGTTCTGCTAATTAAAGAGGAAGCACATTTATTACATTGAATGGAACATTCCTAGAGCAAGCAAATTAACAATCTTGCATTTCTATTTCAATATCAAGAGAGTACTCTCAGAATTTACGTGACCATAATGAATATTTCTGATTTATTAAAAGAGTGTTTCCTACAATGCACACAAAAACATACACAGGAATCAGAATCTAGTTCTTTACCACATGAGAGCCTCAGACTCAGGAGCCATCCTTGCTTTTGCTTTTGACCAGGAGGGACTGGAAGTAATCAGGAGCAATATATCCATTGCCAGAGCATGAGAGACAGGGAAATCTAGTGTCTGCAGAGATCCTTATCATTTGTTCCTGAGTGCCTGTGACAAGGACCAGGTGGAACCTGGGCAGATGCTGCTGGGTTGGAGAAGCAAGATGCTACTCCTACATGCACTGAGTGGTGGAATGAAGTCAAAGAAATCAGGAGTCCCAAGAGACAAACAGATATTTAAATATCAGGGATTTGGGGGTTTTTTTCAGTATATGGTAGCTTATTGATTATCAGCAAGGACCTATTCGTATGTAAACATGTTAATGTATGTTGAATATATGAGCAAGATATGCTACACAATAAAATTCTGTAATGGAAATGGAAAAGTTTTACAGGAAATCAGCCTACAAAAAGGAATAGAAGGAAAAATTAATGACTAACAGTGCTTGGCTGGGATCATTTTGGCAGTATCTATCCAGTCTCAGCACAGTGTTTATTATCTATTCATTTACATGGTGCTTACTAACATCATAATATAGGGCTTAACATGAGGCAAAACCAATTCCCATAAATAAAGAGCTGATAGCTTCCTAATCCCCAGATGATATGAAACAGGAAAGACAAAGACAACTGCCGTAATCGGTACTGACAGCCGTATCTGGACACACAGGGACCCACTCAGAACTTTGTGTGTACGGACAGTAATGAGCTGACATGAGAAATTAAAACCTGCCATGGAAATGCAGGACTGGAGCTTTCTCAGGCTGTGGCCTGGAGTAGGAAGGACTGCTCTACAAGCAAGACTAAATATTTTCGAATGCTTTATTTTTGCAAGTACTGATGCATCAGTGACACTATGCTCTCCTTTCCTAGGGGGATATTACTGACATTACAAATAAAGCTGCAGAGTCAGAATCCATCCCTCAGCATTCTTAGCCCTGTTCTTACAGGAATGAAAACCCAGCTGTAAGGAAGCAGAAACCCTAACCTTAGAAGGGGAATAGCAACACTGCATTGTATCTGTTTATTTGTCAAATTGCATAATAGAGGCTAAAATCTGGAAAAACTTAACTGATATGGTTGTTATTATTATTCATATTACTACCGTGCACCAATTCTTTTACAATTGCCTAATCCAACAACCACTATATAATTGCCTGAAGAAACCATCATGAGGGACCAAACTATGACCTGCCATAACAGGGGAGAAGCAAACCTGTAGCGTAAGTTGTGAACCCAGACATTGTAACAAACTAGATGGACATATTTGCTTGCATCTGTATTACACATGCACATGTACTTAAACACTCATAGTATCTATTAAAAAAACTACTGCAGAAACCTGTGATAAACTGATTTTACTGAAAATCTCTGACTACCTCACTAGATCACTACATCCATCTATGCTGGCATGACTTTTAATAAATTGCAAGATCCTCAAGGCAAAATAAAATATCATCTCCAAATCCCTATGGAGAATGCATGCTTTTTTTTCTGTATCTCACAACAGTCATTGATCTAAGTGGTGGAAACAAAATTAGTTATTTCATTTTTCTACTTTGATTATACTTAGAAGTGTTGCCTAAACTGCTTATTGGATCTTTTCTGTCTTCTTACCCAAAGTACTTGTTCACTGTCGTTTTTGCTGAGTTTTAAGGGTTTTTTTGCTCTTGCTTTAAATGTTTCAAAGCTTTAAGATTTCTTTTCTATGGTCTGTTCCATTTTTTAGCAATACACTAGACTACTAGCAGAGACTGTGGTGTCATAGAAAAGGATTGCACTCATCTTCTCATTTGACATGCCTTGTGTTCCTCCCTACTAGTTCAAATATAATTAATTAACTTCTTAATAGGCTCTTGACTACTTACTGATAGTTTACTGGTATGTTACATATCAAGAGACTCAGAATGTGAAGCATATTATTATTCTACAAATTTTTTCCTCTGACTTCAGAATACTACAGGAACAGCTTAATTTTCCAAGAAAGTAAGTTCAAAATGTAACCAAGTACAATTCAAGTCTTCCCTTTCCCTTTTTTTTTTATTCCTTTCCTTATAACACCAGTTTATTCAGTAATCAAGACATAAATACAGAAAAGTATAAAGTATACGATGAAGTTTCTTACAGGGTGCCACTGATACTCCTCATGACCTACACATGCATTCCAGCTGGGAAATATGGGGAAAAGCAGGTAGGATGCCAGTGTACTGCTACTGGTCAGGTTCATCTTGTAATGGCGTGCAAATATAAATTAAACATGAAGGACTGGATTTATTACTTGTTGGATTGGTTATTGATAATTATTTGGAGGTTGTATGTACTGAAACTTATAATGACAATGATGCTAGCCACACATAATGGCCATAATATAATTTCTAAAGCACATAGCATCTCATGTGAGTGATGCTCTAACAGCTATGAACAACCATTACTAAGTAAAATAAACAGCAGTTGCTAGGATATCTGTCACTCTGGAGACAAACCAAGTCTAGGTAGGACCATGTAAGATTTAAGTAATATAACAGATAAGGCAGAGCGTTGAAGAGCCTTCTGGGAACTCTCAATTACTTCAATATGGACATAGCCAGTATTTCTCACTTGGATAGATGGGGGTAAATGTAATTCCAGTGCTGAAGACTGTTGTGCCAGTTTCTGGTATAGATGCCACAGAATTTTAGAATAAAGGGCCCACATGTAATAGCACAGCTGTGGAGAAACCCAAGCTATGAAGCAATTAAAAACAATTCCACAGAAGAGACAGGGAGAGCAAAAATGGTTAGTTCATTGGGGATCTTTCCTCTGTATCTGTTGCTTTCCTTTGTTCTCTTTCCATGGCCTGCTAAAGGATTGTTTCTTTTGAAATTCTGCCTGCATTTTATTTTTCCATTTAGCCAAATAAAAAAGGTATTAGCATTCAATTTAATTGACCTTTCATTTTCCTTGCAGGCAGAGGGAGAAAAGACTGGTCCCGAAAGCGGAATTTTTCTTTGCATGTACATTTGTATTGTAAAAGTAGCTAGGAGAATAATTTTTTACATTGCAAGACATCAAAAGAGTTGTGAATAAAACCACAAAACATGCAAGAATAAATTCTTACCATTAGCAGAGAATCTTGCTTTTTGCTGTTCACTGCTATTCTCATTGACATCACATGCACAAGGTCATAGGATTTTCAAATCACTCAGCATTAGTCTTCCCCTCCCACAAGAAGTTCTACGCTTGACTTCAGTGGGAAGAGTCAAGATACCAAGAAGTACTTTTGATGAGTACATACATTTCATAAACCACCAGCCGTGCAGTTAAAAACCATGGATGTACTCTAAACTACTGGAAATACAGAGAAAAAGGTGGTAACAGTCTGATGAAGAGACTGACATGTCAGATATGGTAGCATCCATACAAGTTACATTCTTTCTATAACAACGTATGCACCTACAAGCCACAGCAACACTGAAAGCTTCTTCCTTCATTGGCTTGGACATCAAAACTGAATAATCTCTACACTAGGAAAATCGCACTACTGTGAGACCTTCCTTTTGACAGAAAAACACTACAACATCCTCTGCAGGTGACTGCATCCTAAACAGAAGTTGAAAAGAATGCCAAAAAGAGCAATGTTTGACAAGCCCAGGTACTTCGCTGACAGTCTGTAAAAAGTGTGCAGTTATGGAAAGATTACATGCTGAGACTGCACCTCTAAAGCCTGTGCTTGACACTAGA